TGTATGTATGTATGTATGTATGTATGTATGTATGTATGTGTGTGTTTGTGTGTGTGTGTGTGTGTGTGTCTGTGTGTTTATGTTTATATGTCGACTGTTATATATATGCAAATAAATCACATTTTAATCTTTCTAGTTAAACCACACTTCTCTGTTTAATGCCAAGTAAGCTGGCTAATATTTAGTGTGTCCCATTCAAGGTCATTAAAATTTGTTGGGATTTTTAATTTTTAATGGAAGCGTGCTGAGAGAAAAACCATACTACAGTACTGAAACTAGTGTAAAAACTGTACTATACAATACTGTTCCGGGAAAAAGGAGATGAAAACAGATGGTCAATCATGATGCTTTTGAGTAATCGCATAACTCTGTTGCGGTAGAGGTATGCAATAATCGATAACATAATTATAACTACCACCAAAAAATAATTGTGAGCTCTTCATAGCTCTGTTCTCATTATTTCTAATCCTTTGATCTAGGGGAAGAAGACGGCGGATGGTGCGCAGACCCGAAGGACACCAATCCATGGATTCAAGTGGATTTGGATCAGGTGACAGCTGTGTCAGCCCTCACTTTCCAAGTGCCTGAGCGTGTTTCAAGCACGGTTATTCCCTCCAATTACGTCAAAAGGGTCAGACTGGAGTACAGGGACGTAAACAGTGCTAAACTAGTCTACAAGGCATACAGCAGTGTGAGTACAGTTGCTTGTTCGAAATACGTGTAGATGAATGAATGAGTGAACGATTTACTGAATAAACAAGTACATAGATTGATAAATCAAGTAAGGATATAAAATATGTTCAAAGATGAAAGAATTATTGATACGAACGAGTCAGAGTCCGTTTACTATGAAATTAGCTTTTAGAACTGCATAATAATAAGTATTGTTAATTAAAGTTGCATTGCACGTTGCAAGACTTGAAATAGTCATCAGAGGAAGGGGATGGAGATCTTTGCCGTAAGCAGACAAGCACCTACTATAATACAATTATACCATGAAAATGAATTGGAGTGAAGCTACATGGCTGCCAAAGCATAGATTGGCAGAGGGAACGGCTCGGCCTAGGTCAGGTAAAAAATAGTGAGCAGCAAGTGAAAAATGAAAAGGTTGGACTTACTGGTACGGGTAAAGAAGAAAAATCGAAAATAACAATTCTGAAAGCAAAAAAATATCATTTTCAAAAGAATATTCTTACACGAAAGCAATATCTCCTTCCTATGGGCGCTTGATAAAGGCAGCTTTTAGAGAGAAGTGAATGTAAATATTTGTTCAAATTAGATTGCAGTAACCAATTTTTTTTTCAACGAGAGTGTAGTAACTGTATATTTTTGTTGAAACGACAGTGTAATAAATGTAGCATATTTTTGCTCAAAAGAGGAAGCTGAATATAATAACGAAGCCTTGTTAACAATTGTAACGTCAAAATGTGGTAATTATTTCCAGGGTATGCCAGCCACACCCAATGCAACAGTGGCCTATCTGATCCAGCTCAGACCTAGAGTGGTCACCGACTCAGTGCGCCTGTATATCACTGATGCCCAAGGAATGGCCTGTTTCTGGTTTGACCTCGTTGGGTGTCCAGTTACAGGTGAGCTTATTAAGTGAAATATTTACACTGGAACTCTTAAAAAGAGGTTTTACAATTCATTTCTGTCTGCTTGTAAAGTGTAGAAAAATTTTCCCCAAAAAATATTAAAGTCTCGCTACATAAAGGTAATACTCGTGATCTTTACTTTTAAACAAATTCTAACATTTTCTAAGTTTCTAAGTTGGAAAAAAGCCTTTCTATCCTTAACTGTATTATGGAAAAAGTATGTTGTCAGAATCTATGATGTCTGTACCACTACTCTCTCTCTCTCTCTCTCTCTCTCTCTCTCTCCCCTCTCTCTCCCTCTCAGTCTATTTTCTCTCTGCCTGTCTCTACTATCTCTCTGTTTCTCACTATCGCTCTCTCTCATCTCTCTCTCTCTCTCTCTCTCTCTCTCTCTCTCTCTCTCTCTATTTTCTCTCTGCCTGTCTCTTTCTGTATGTCTCTACTACCTCTCTGTCACACCCCCCTCTCTCTCTCTCCCTCTTTCCCTCCCACCACGCTAAGATCCTGTAGGATTACGGACCCTGTTCGTTTTCACGCCAAACTGGGCTCAACACATCGCTCAAAACAAACTTTGGAGAAGAAATTCTAAGGCTCAACACAAACTTGGAGAGCAGAAGAAAACGAAGTTTGAACGATCAACCAAAGCAAACTAGGAAAAAGCAGAAGATGATGAAGAAACTAGAAAACTCCAGAGAAACACGAACCTTGACCGTAGAAAACGAAGTCTGAAGACTTCTTGCCAAACAAATGCAGTATTCTCAAACAAACAGACACATACACACTCTGAGCGATTTAAAGTGAGGGGGTGGCAAGGAGGGCGAGAGAGAGAGAGAGAGA